ATKCCTTTGACGTATTTATAAACCATAACATAAATACAAACAAAAAGTATATTATATACAACGATAAACGAGAGAAGAAAAGTGGTTTCACTTAAAAATTAAATAAAAATAAAAATCACGTGCATCGTGTATTAGTCTAAGTATTATTCATCTTGCGCACTAAATACACACTCGCACAGTCGCACGCTACATTGATTGAAATGCCAATCGACGAATTTCAGTGATTTTCTAAAGTGACAATAATTTTCACCTTGTTCTATAAACGATACGGATTGAATATTGTTTAGCGAACATCCTGGTCACGTAAATTGGTGTCTAATTCGATGATGTGACCATACCGCCAAATGTAAATATACTTCTAATATTTATGTCAAGGGATCCGTAAAGACCTCGTATTTCGATTAATAATGAATATAATAAAATTATGTATTATTACAATGCGATGTAATAAACATGTTAATGTTTCGTTAATTAGTATTTTGTTTGATGTGTCAATATTTCATACACAMTGATACAAAGTAAGTCATTTTTAAGCAACTAAATTTGATCTCGTTAAGCTTTCACCGCAGAAATTCTACTCATATACTAAACATGAATCGACGTTAAAATAATGTAGCAATTTCGTCGGAGGTCGGTTCAAGACAATCCCAGCAGAGGTGCTCGTATAGTTAACCGGCTTGAAAATTATAGATTCATGGGTGCACGTTGTTAAATTAAAGAGTGGAATACAATATATGATTAGCGTTATTTTTATAAAATTTCACACTCAGTTTTATTTTTTACGACATCTAAACCTTATATTAATCGAAGTGTTGAAACGTGCAAAATACGTAGATACCTATTGGTATATTATAATAATAGTTGAGTAGAAATGTAAACGTGAGTACAGAGTAGAGGTTATAAAGTGCGTTGAATTATCGAATATAATATGTATCATGTATGTAGGTATTATATACGTATTATGATTAGAAATCGTAATCAAAATAAAATTTTAAAATAGATAATTTAATTTCTCACTTATTTAAAATATTTAAAAAAAATATATTACAAAACATATTACGAGTTAAATGAAAAAATATTTTTGTTTCTT